TATAGTAGTAGTAGTTAGTAGTTAGTTATTACTAACTAACTAACTAAACTAACTTAACGTTTAGTTAGTTAGTTAGTTTAGTTAGTTCTACTCTACTGTACTACTATATATATATATATATATAGAGAGAGAGAGAGAGAGAGAGAGAGAGAGGGGAAAAAGATCTCGTCAACCCATGGGTTGACAGTTACAATGTCAACCAACGGTTCAAACTCAATTTGGGTTCAATTTAATGGTCACAATTTCATTTCATATTTCAATTTTCATTTTCTTTTATATAAATCCAATTCACTTGAAATTTTGAGCATCTATTCTTCAAAAATTGGAGAATCTAATAAAAATATAAAACATAATTCGTAAAATATAAATCGATCAAAATACTCCGAAAATATTTAGGAGGTATTTTGGTCGATTTATATTTTACGATTTTTTTTATTATATATTTTAATTAAGTGCGTCTGGATGAGAAGAATGACCGCATAAAATTTCAAGTGATTTAAATTTCTATAAAAAAAAAAATGAAAATTCAAATACGAAATAAGATCGTGACCGTCAAATCGGTATAGATTGAATCTGGGCTGTTGACTGATACTGCAGCTGCCAGCCAGTGGGCTGACATTCAATATCCAATGGACAAGATTAAGTGTGACCACCAAGGGTAAATGGTCTCATTGTATATATTTCCTTGTGTTGTAAAACAATGAAGGGTGTCATAATAATGTCATCGATATCATCCAAATCTTATCTCAATTATTTAGGGTTCTCTATATGAATCATGGTTTTCCATTCTTTTTTATTAAGGGTACCCTGATCAAAATTAACCATATCTATTCTCATTATTTCTAGGTGTTATAAAATGTAATAATCATGACATATTGTAATGCGTTATCTAGAGCGTTAATTCTTAATGGAATTTTTGTTTATTTAGAGCCAAGGTTCTAAACAATCAAATTGGAGCCCAACTCAAAAATTTTACTAGAAGAGGTTATTTTAATGCTCGAATATCCTCAAATAGATCATCTTGACATCAAGATGCATGGACATGAGAAAAAAATGGATTTTAAGTTTTGGAAATAGTGCATCTTGTAACGCAGTTTTGGATCGTCGATGTTCAAGATTGTTATAGATCTGTTTGATCTACATTGTTTTTTAAACTTTAAATTTTGTAATTAAAGGCTATCACAAAGATTTTCAATATTGAAATTACCTTTCTCGTCACTATTTGAAGGTGCGCTTTACTTTGATTGTTTAGAGCCTTGGCTCTATACAAACCACTCTTAAAAAGTTTAAATGTTTTATAGATCTGCATCTCTTTTAGAGCTTTAAATTTCATAATTAGAAATACCAATAGATTTTCATATCCTCACAAAGTTTTTTTTATTTTTTTAGCCTTGGAACCGCATCTTTTGGCATAGTTTTGAACTGCATCTATCACTGATTGCTTGGAAGATCTAGGGTTAGGGGTTGAGTAAAATGATATCACTCTGTTGCATGTTAACTGCGATGGGGAAATGTTATTCATCCGTGAAAACTCTGAGAATTCATGATGAGCGTAAGATCCTAAGTATGTGTGAAGTATGCTAGTTTGCATTTTCATGTATTGCAAGTGGTAGTTTATAAAAAAACGACTCAGATATTCTTTCAAAAAAAAAAAAACTCATATATTAATTATTTAACATTTTACCAACTTAATTTTAAAATGCACTTCTAAATAAACATGATTTTGACTTGCAATAGTGGTAGAAGGGTAAAATGTTTAAGGGTGGGTGCGGTTTGCATAAGGTTGCAGCCTTAATCAATTCAATTAAGACGCACCTCTAAGTTTGATCATAAATGTAGTTTTGATATAAAAAATTTTTAGAATGGTTTGAAAATATATTTTCATCTCTAATTATAAAATTTTAAACTTTAAAAATGGTTCAAATAAAATAGATTTATAAACACATAAAATTCTTGAAAATAGATGGTCCAAATAATGTGTTGCAAGATGCACTATTTCGCAGACACAAATTTTTTTTCCATTTCATATTCATACATTTCGATGTTGAGATAATCAATTAGATGGCTTTAAAACATCCAAACAACCATTTATGATGGATTTTTGAGGTGCATCTTTAACTCTACCTTTTAAGGTTGCAATCTTATAGAAACTTTTTCCAATGTTAAATAGTTGAAAAGCGAGATGCATTTTAATAAATTTCCCATATATGTATATATATGGTTTGGCCATTACAATTAGGTGATCACGATTACTTCGTCTATTAGATTTAAAATTGATGGTTGTAATGATGTTATTGACTAGATCTAAAGTTTTTTGTAAAAAATTGATATCTGACGGCTAAGAGTAATTGTGACTTCCTTGTAATAAAGATAATTGTGACCTCCTCGTAACAAAGATAAATGGTCTCATAATATACCATCTCATTTGCGCTCTTTCTTGTGTTTTCAAAATTGTTGGCTCAAGCTTGGCCTTGCCCCTAAGTCACTCTGACCCAACTTGGTGCTAATTCGAAATGAATAACTTTTATGAATTGGGTGAGTTCGACCTGAGTCCAAATTAATAAATATTATGGATTTTTGATAATGATCTAAGCAGAAGATAACAAAAAAACCAATAAATTCCCTCTTCTAGATGAGGGACCTCAATTTCTAGCAAGAATTAAGAGAGTATATTTCATTGAAATCTTCCTAAAAATCACCTAGCAACTATTAAGGAAACTATATTTTCACCCAAAAAAAAAAACTGTTTTATTAAATAGCTATACCACAATAACAACTAATTAATTGAATTAATTCAAAATAAGAAACTAACTTAACTCCTACCATATAGGCCTCGATGATTATTCAAAATAAAAAACTGACACACTCCTACTCAAAACCCTAACAATATTTTCATTGAATCTTGGCAGAGTTTGTAGTCCTAATCGACTACTCCCTAAGGATCCACAATTAGTGATCTAAAAACCTTGGATAAAACGAGTGATCCAAAAAACATATATCCGAATCGGGCACCCCAAGACATTTTTTATTCGTATAAAGCCATGCAATGAATGAATGTTCGGCACGTGCCAAAAATAAATTAAAAAAAAAAACAAAAATCCTTAAGTTTTCATACCTGACAAGTTTGACCAGCTGAGGGGCGTTCACGCAAATTCACTTAACTCAAATGGACATTTTAGACTACGAAAGACCCAAATTCCATTAAAAGGAAGGGTGAAAATGCGGAAATAAGACATGTTTTTGGGTCTCACCCCCTTTAATTTGCATTTTATAAAAAAAGGTTTCCCACCAAATAAAAAGACGCCATGGATTGGGAGTAGGTGGGAGAGAAGACCACAAGAATAATCTCTCTTTCTCTCTCTTAAAATTGCCTCTCTGTAACTCTCTTTTTCTCTCCTCTGTATCTCTCTCTCTCTCTTAAAATTGGCTCTCTGTGTCTCTCTCTCTCTTAAAATTGGCTCTCTGTAACTCTCTCTCTCTCTACTTGAAAGTCTCTTTCTCTCTCTACTAAAACTTGGCCGTCTCTCTCTAGTGGCGGGTAGGTAGAAGGATAGAAGCAAGGAAAGAGAGGGTGCCCCCAACCCCCCTGTTTAAAAAGACCACCTTACCTTCCATTCTTCTCTGCTACTCTCTCTCTCTCTCCTGGTTTTCCCGCTTGTATAGGCTCCTCCGTCTTGCTTTTCTTTCTCCTGTAATCTTCAATGGCGTTTTCTTTGAGTTCTAAGCCCTTTGATAGGGCTTCCTTGGCCGATGGAGACTCTGGTTTTAGGATGAACAAATCAGATCTCAGGAGATTATCGGTGTCCACTCTCCACATCTCCACTCGCTATAAGGCTCCCAAAACCCTTGGTTCGTGCTCCTTTCCTTCTCCTCTCTAATTACACTGTTATGAACCAGAAGTATTGGTTGAGTTTCGATATCGCAGCTCTTATTGTTGGAATTTGTAGGATTCTTAAGATTAATTTGTATGTCTATGCTGTTGATTATGGAACTGATATCTCGTTAGATTGCTTCCATGATTGTAAATCATAGTACAAATTTTCAATTTAGCATTTTGAGTAACTTCACATTTATGCAATTGGGGGAAACTGTGGCTTTCCTGTTAAAAATTCTGCTCCAAATTTCGGAGTTGCAATTTATACAGTTGTAATTTGATCGATAATTTACGATGTTTATTTCAGTGGTTTTTTAATCTGGTTTACGCTGTTTATTAAGCCAAAGCTTGCTTAACCAAAATATTGGTTTCACGCATGCTTGGTTTGCTGTTGCTTGTTTCACCATGTGAAGTTTTGTAATGTTCGAATTTATAATACAGTCAACTAAGAAAGGTTTCTTTCTCTGGTAAATACCGTATAATTCTTAGATGATAATCGACTTTACATTGCCCAAATGGTGAATGAAACAATGCTGTTAACTGCCTTTGCTTTTATACACATGGGAACTCTCTTACATGTATTTTTCTTTTTCTTTTTTCTATTTTTTGTGTTGATTAATTTCTTCATTTTTAGCCACAACGTTCAAAGTCATAGCCTTTTTGTTCATCTGTAATTCATTTTTCGATTCAATCAGCCATCCATTTTCTTAATAATTCTCAGAGAGTGACCGATCCGTTTTCTCACTTTTGAAGTAGTGCGTTCCGCTCTATCATGACAAAACAAAGACCGTTTATGACTGTTTAGTTTGGAATCACATTTGGAAATGGGTTTTATCAAGTAAAGAACTAGGTTACTCAGAAAATGCAGTTCTTGATAAGCTCATGATGCTGTGTTATTAGAAAAGCTCTTATGCATCACTGGAGATAGAATTTTAATCAAGAAATGGCATCCATTAAACTTCTTGATCATAGCTTCTGACTAGAAAATTGAGTCCACCACACAATTAAAGAACAGAATATTGAGCTGCATGTTAGACAAACCAAAATCCAGGTTATGAAAAGAAAAACAGATGCTGATTCCCTCGATTCCGACTGCAGCATTTGGCATGTGGTCGCTGCTTGACCTGTTAATTAGGCTCCAAATGAGGTTTTCGAAAGGATTTTTTTTTCAAGGATCAAGAAATTAACTGGAAGTTGTGTAAAGATCGACAATGTGCTATTAGAATAAAAGAAAAGAAAAAGGCTAAGAAAAAAATCAACTAAAAGAAAAGAACAGGCAAAATGTAAGTCTTGCCATGTATGGAACATATATTATCACTTCAATAATTGTATTTAAACATTGCCCCACTGAGAAACACCAACCCTGACACCTTATCTAATGAAATAATCTGTAACAGCTCCTCTACTTGTTTCTGAAGTTCTAACTTGCCTCTGGTTCTCTTCTTAATTTTAAGCATATTTTCTTTATTCACTGTCACTCTTTTGATCTACAGGATGAGGAAAATATATTTGGATAGGCATATGAATTTAGTGTGCCCTGGAAATATTTCTGTTCAGGCTGCTGAACCTCCTCAACTATCTGCCAATATTTTTCCAGTAATTATTTGATCACAGCAAAACTGAACCTCCTAGAATATTTTTGGGATTGTCTATGAATGGACCTTTTATCTTTTGTACATGGAGGTCACAATCATTCTTGTCTCTTAAATTGAGAAATGGGTGGTTGTAGGAGTGTCATTAAATAGACACAAAGTTCCAAAAACAAAATTCTTGGACTTTGTGACTCACCCCAAGTCCTCCTATTTGATATCTAGTGAGTGGGAATGATTGTGACTTCCATGTATAAAAGATAAATGGTCTCTTCAATCCCATATTCGTTCCCCCTAGAAATCTGTGTAGTGTTCGTCTTTCTAGAATATGGTTGTTGAGGCAACTGAACCTCTTTAAAAGATCGGGAGGATTTGTTTGTACTTTAGTTGTTTCTATGAGAATGTTTTGAGAGACACCTGACTTCCTGAAGTATGACAACAAGATGCAAGAATGGGCATCATGGAATGTGATTGCTTAGTTGCCCTAAGCTTTACTTTTTGGTAAGATGTTTTGAGTTTTTGGAAAAAAGTGGTGTAATAATTCTAAGCAGTAATTCAACACATCCATGTATTGCGTTTTAATAGTGTCACTGAAGCGAGATATTGGCAATTTTAGGTCATCTTAATCCATTTGGTATTAGTTGGAATTTCCAATTGCATCTATAGGAAATATATTTCCTGATTTAGATATATTTGAAGTTCTTGTGCCATTACAATGAGTTTTCACTTTTTCCCCTCTTCTATTCTGCATTATCATTCCTTATTTGGTATTCAGGAAAGACAAAAGGACAATATATTGTTTTATGGACTTGTAACTTTGATAAATATTGCTGTTGTGGATTTTATAGAAATAAAGTAAATTGATACCATCTTACTGATCTTTGCTTGGAAATATTAGAGGTTCGTGCTGGGAGTGGAAATACATTTGGGACTGTCTTTCGTGTCACAACATTTGGAGAGTCTCATGGAGGAGGGGTTGGATGCGTAATTGACGGCTGCCCTCCAAGGATTCCCCTTTCAGAAGCGGACATGCAAGTAGAGCTTGATAGAAGGTACTGCTTTGAGCAATTTGAATCTCTCCTTGTTTACCACTATCCTATCTTCAGTTTGCATTTTATGTTGCAAACTTGGTCTGTGAGTCTGCTTTGATTGGTTTTAAAGTGGTTTTGGTTTTCTGTCTACTTTCCTTTTCTGTCCTTTTTGTCAAATCCTACCACTGAACTAGTTTTTCAAAAGACAACATAGTGAATCCTTTATTCCTTGTGCCTGTGGGTATACTCTCTAAATACCATATTTTATTTTGATACCCAGGAGGCCAGGGCAGAGCCGCATAACTACCCCAAGGAAAGAAACTGACACATGCAGCATTATTTCTGGCATTTCTGAAGGTTAGCTTCTTACTTCAGAAACTCTTGTCTCTATCATGCTCTATATTTTCAGTGATTAATTTCTACTTCCTTAGTAGTCAAAAAGACTCAAAGCATGAACTCAAGAAGCATAGTGACATCGATGCATGTGCTCAACTTGGACTTTACCTAATTTTGTATTGCAGGAATGACTACTGGGACTCCTATTGCAGTTGTCGTACCAAATACAGATCAAAGAGGACACGTGAGTCTCTCCAAACTTGATGGTCAAATATTTCTTGTAGATTGTGCTCTTTTGTCAAGCTGCCATCTACTCTATGGTAAATCCTTTGGGCTATATTATGCGTTAGCCAACAATTTTCTGTGCTTTGCAGGATTACACTGAGATGTCAATGGCATATCGGCCCTCTCATGCAGATGCCACATACGATTTTAAGTATGGTGTCAGATCAGTACAGGTGATTACACATTCCCACTGCGTTAAAGAATTCCTAGCCATTGCAGATTTTGATTGCAAAGATCGCAGTTGTAATGAGTTTTATTGGAATGTGTAGGGGGGCGGAAGGTCGTCTGCTAGGGAAACCATTGGCAGAGTGGCAGCTGGTGCTGTTGCTAAGAAACTTCTCAAGATAAAGACAGGAACAGAGGTGAGTTTATAATTATGCTCAAGACGTTGTAAACTCTGATCTCTGTTGTAGGCTTGATGCCCATCGATGCACCTATCCTGTTATTTAGTTCGGGAAAAATATACTCTAATCTAATAGACTGTGTATAACCCATAATCCATTGGGTTATCCACCATAAATTGATGTGATAAAAAGTGATGAATAGAGTGTGACCCTTTATTCATGGTCATGTCCTGTTCCGGTGGGTCCTATCATCTCGCCATCACCATCCATCAGATATTCATATAAATAAAGATGTTAACCCAATGGACTTTATATTTCTCATAGTCCACCGAACTATAGTAGACTTTCCCTTTTAGCTTTGAGCTAAAGAGATGTGCCTGGGATCCCTAGTTGTTTCATGGGCCCTGTTAATCATTGATATGTAGAGCTGTGCCTCATTTACTGCCTTGTTTCCAGGTTCTGGCCTATGTTTCTCAGGTTCATAAAGTTGTGCTTCCTGAAGGAGTTGTGGACAATGAGATGGTGACATTAGATCAGGTGTGGTGGTTGCTGACTTTTAACTCTATATTGAAGAAACAAAACAACTGATATTTCACTTAACATTTGGATAGTTAGGTTGTTTATTTGATACAGGGAATATTCATATTCTTCTGTGATTGCATTATTGCAGATAGAAAGCAATATTGTGAGGTGTCCCGATCCAGTTTATGCTGACAAAATGATAGATGCCATTGATGCTGTTCGAGTTAGGGGGGACTCTGTTGGTGGTGTTGTCACTTGCATTGTGAGGAATGTCCCACGTGTAAGGAGCTAACTGATCCCCTTCCTATTATCTCTCTCTCTCTCTCTCTGGCACGAGTATGCGCCTGCACGTACACCTAGTCTTTCTTCTTTGGTTGAATATTAGGTGTGGCTTGTCTTCCTCTGGTATAGTTGTATAACTATATACTCAAGAAAAGAAATCTATTCACTGTAGATTTGTACCTGAGTTACAAAGCATATGTGACTTTTGATCTGGTCCATGTATAGAATGCATGGTTGCTCTGGGAATTATGAATGAAAACTACATTATACTGATATTGTCACTAGGAAAGTATCCCATGCTCTTCCTGTGTATGGTGTATAATATACACCTGGGTCATCTGCTGTCCATTCTCAAGATGGATGGGGGAGATGAATCATAGTTCTCATGAGGAACATTCAAGTTCATTTCTGCCATCTATCTTAAGAATGGATGGCAGACACCCAACTGTGTGTTATATACCTCCAACTATACACAGAAATAGATGAGGAAATTTCCCTCCAACTGGGGACAAAAGGAGAAGACTAGATGTTCCGTTTTACTGGATACTGACAGTGATTATCATATCAGGGGCTTGGCACACCAGTATTTGACAAGCTCGAAGCTGAGCTAGCTAAAGCAGTCATGTCACTACCTGCAACTAAGGGGTTCGAAATCGGCAGTGGATTTTCAGGTACATGAGAGTGTGATCTTTTATTAGTGAAGCTGCTCCTAGGAATAACTGGAAAATAGAAGGCCTTAATTCTTTAGTGACATCGGTAAATGTAAACACTATTATGTGTGAGATGAAGAGGTTACTAGACAACTAACATAAAAATTTGAGGATGCAAAATCCTGAGAACATACAAATGCAGCCAGATACATTTTGCATTGGCAATTGGGATTTATGCTGAAACAAACATTGGATTCTTATGACCATCCATTCAAATGGATCTTTGTGTGAAAGGATCTGGAGCTCTTCTTTTCCCCTAAATTGTTTGACAACTTTTGTAGGTACTTTTCTCACTGGGAGTGAGCATAATGATGAGTTCTACACTGATGAGCATGGAAGAATTCGGACTAGGTCTAATAGATCCGGTGGGATACAGGTATGGAAGTTCTTGATGATTTTTAGACTTTGGTCGTACATTTTTTGTTTTCCTTTAACACAAGGGCTTACTGATGCTTGGTTCACTTTTAGGGTGGAATTTCTAATGGTGAAACAATAACCATGAAGATTGCCTTCAAGCCGACTTCAACAATAGCGGTTTGCCACTCTCCCTTTAACTCTTTTCCATATCATTCCTTGATAGCATAGTTATAACTTCGATAAGAAAAAACTTGGGAGGATTCTTTCCACTTTCTGCTGCTCTTTTCCATATCATGCCATCATAGAGCATACCATTAGTCTTTCACTTTGGATGTTCTTTCCTTTACGTCTCAGCTATATATTTTAGTGAATGTATTTTGTAGGAGTTAAATAAGCTCTTCTCATGGATGGGCTTTTACTAAATTTTTGCAGAAGAAGCAGCACACTGTTACACGAGACAAAAAAGAGACTGAACTTATAGCACGTGGTCGCCACGATCCTTGCGTGGTTCCTCGAGGTCTTTTTTTAACCTTACCTCTCTCTCCTCTGCATTTGTCAATTTTTGGGCACACTCACACAGACTTGCATATATGTTGATAATTTTGAACACACACTCTCTCTCTGCCTCTCTCAACATGCTGACATGTTCATTCATATGGGTTCTGTTAAATTGAACTTGAATTAGCAATGTGTGTGTATGCAGCTGTCCCAATGGTAGAAGCAATGGTGGCATTGGTAGTACTAGATCAACTGATGTTACAGTATGCACAGTGTGAGATGTTTCCCATCAACCCTGCCTTGCAAGAACCTCTTGAGCCAGTAGAGTCGATTGCAGGTCAGCCAGTGTAAAAGAAAAGAGTGAGTTCTTATCTTATTACTACTTCCTTTTACATAACGTGAAAAGGGAAGACCTTAAGAATATTTCATCAAAAGAATCCTCTGTAAAGTGGCTTCTTGTGAAATGAAAAGAATCCACTGGCCCTATCTCAAGCCAAATGATAGTGAGTTGGGTTTTTCTTTTTTTGGCTGTGAACTTGTGTCATGAAGCATTTAGAGAGGAATTTTCCCATGGTGACTGAAGCCCTGTGTTATTATGTATTGTAGTTTGAAGCTTTGGGATTCTTTCTTGTATTAATAAACAATGAAAAGCAACGTTATTTTTTGAGTTCTCAATTTTATGAGAAGCTTGGCTTTGGATTGAAATATAGAACTTAGTTCAAAACATCTCTCTCTCTCTCTCTCTCTCTCTCTCATTTTTAGGGTTTTGATCCTCGTAGCATACAAAATCCTCGGCATGCCCGTAGAGTTGGAATAAATTAAATCAAGTTTTCTCAATGTATATCCTTTTTTAGGTTGTGGATCGACACTAGAACTGTTTTGGAGTCAGAGCTGGTTTGGAGTCTCTCTCTCTCTCTCAATGCAATAACCAGATTTATTGGTGCTTGGTACTGTGGCAATAATTGATCTAGGCAAAAGCCAGGCAAAATGACATGAAAAGTAAAAAAGAAAATTGCAGGATTTGTGCCATTTTTTGAGTCATAGTTGGTATTAAAAATTGATTTTAGAGCCATGATAGAAACTTTGGATGCTCAAAGTGTTTTTCGGATGAGGATATTTCGGATGCTCAAAGTGCTTTCCGGATGAGGATTTTATATGGAGCTTATGTTCTAAAACGCCTCAAAAAATTCACTAGAAGAAGTTGTTTTGATGCCCAAATACCCTCAAATTGCCCCATCTCAACATCAAGATGTATGAGAAAAAAATGAATTTCAAATTTTGGAAAATCGTGCATCTTGTAATGTATTTTTGGACCGTCAATTTTGAAGATTTTCAACTTTTCAGTTGCTCTACACTATTTTTGAAGCTTTGCATTTTATAATTAAAGATGAAAATGTCTTTTAAGGCTATCATAGAGATTGTCAGTATTGAAACCACATTTTTGGACATTATTTGAAGATATGCTTTACTTTGATTTGATTTTTTAGAGCCTCGCCTCTATACAAACCGCATAAAGCTTGGGCCTTAAAGAAACTACATCCATTAATAAATATCAAAAGCAAGGATAAAAATGTATTAAGAAGTTTATTGATTGTATTTGGTGGAGAGTACATCAAGGGACGTACCACTGTTGCCTAAGGCATGTTTAATTGCCCTTTTCTACCAGTTAGCAATAAAACTGCCCTGCCCTAGAGTTGCAACCATTTGCTCCAGGAATGGGGACCCTGCTTATCAGTAAAAGCCACCAAAAGTAAGGTTCCGCAATTTGAAAAAAAAGAATAAAAACGGTTGTTCCCATTACCAACAAAAGTATAGGGCCGGTAAAGATAAGGGTTAGGCATTGCTAGCAGGTTATCCAATATCATCAGCACTAACATCATCACATTGTTAGCAGGTTTTCCAATATCATCAGCACTAACATCATCACATCACATCTCATCACATGGTGGTGTGGGTTTTCCAATATCATCATCACATCACATCAATGGTGGTGTGGAAGGGACTCTCGCTGCAATTCTCAACAAAAATCATTGCCAGGCGCCATGCCACACGACCTCCCTACCAGTTTTTTTTGAGGGTTTGTTTATTGTTAGGTGCCTTATGAACCACATCAGTGATGGATGGGTTGGTGGTGTATTCAATCCTGGCATGCTCTTACATACCAAATTGTTTGTTTTCAGTACCAAGTCTCTATTTTTTCGATTCAAATTTGATTAGAGAAAAGGATTTCTCATTTCTTCTCCAAAACATATTTTCTTGGGATTTTGTTTTTCCTACATTTCTTACTACTTTTTTATACCAGTTCACTAGATGGTTTTGCACAAAAAATCCTACAAGATATTTGTTTCATCATCATCATTTTAGCTTTTTTCTAATTAATTGGGATCAATTATATACATGAATCTTAGTTTTCCATTCTGCTCTATTGAAAACCATATCCTCAATCCTAGTTTCCATTCTGCTCTATTGAAAACCATATCCTCAGTGAGGCCATAAGTTCTCATATATTTTCGGACTACTTCTAATGACATCCTTTTGGCCCTACCCCTTGTCCTTTTCAATCCTTCCATTTGAATTAACTCGCACCCCATACAAGAGATTTGTTTTATATTAGTGAAAAGTTTTTGGTGAGTTTGCCGAATTTTGCATTTGCCTTGGTTCTCAAAGGTTTTAGGACCCAAAGAAACATCTCAAATTACTGCAACTCCATTTCCGCCTCAATCCATGAATTTGGAGCTCCGAAAACAGCGCAGATCTGATGATCTATGAAGAGTTGCGATGAATGGTATAAAGGACGAGTAGAAGATGGAATATTTTTAAGGCTCAAAAACTCTTTTTTTCTTTTTTCCAAAATCATGATCTTGGTGATTGAGATGATGGAACCCGTAAAGTTTTGATCCAAAATCCATCGACGGATTTTGGAAGGGCAGAAAAACTGTAATAGGTGTGTCCATGAATGTGGCTAAACCCTACCCTCATATTAGTGTCGCCGAACCAGAAATCATGCACAATGTCCACAGCAATAGACGGTACTGCTCTATGGAACCTCATGTTATGGTCGTTATGACAATAATTTCTTTATATTTGAGGCTCACCGAGCAAAAATCTTCAATTTACAAAGTTCCTTTGCAACTCATAGCAAAATCAACATCACATTTCAGAATTCCCTCCATATATTAAAGTTCCATGATAAGGTATTGTCTACGACTCTTCTCCTGCTGTCTTGAAAGAGCAAAGGATCATTTTGCATCACCACATCCAAGTTATAGCAAAGTAATGAGCTATATTCCCACCAGGTATAGCAAGATGACCTCAAACTATACTGAGTGACCTAGGTACTAGATTTTCTTCCATTTCATTAGAATGTCATAATCACATTATAGAAGAAATTGCGTCCGACCAGTGTTCTATGAACACATACCGTACTACCCAGTAGAGTGAACCGGGACTTGACCTGCCAGGTCAAGGTCAGGGGTTTGGACCGCGACCCGGATCAGGTCGACCAGGCAGGTAAACCATGATCCTCTTGCAGCCCTAATAAATATTGGTCAGAGAAAGTAATTGACGGCCAACAAGTAAAAGACATATTTTGAAAGAAGCAATGGCACAGTCTATCGGTTCCAATCAAGAGACCTAAATCCCACAATTAGATGACTACTGTAATAATATCTTATGATGCAGTGTTATTTTCTCTGCATGGAGACACTTAAAAGACATCTTTTGCAGTAGCAAGTTATTAAGAGAACAGGCCCAACTGTAAATAATTAAGTCATCCATACTCAGTAGCTAATCAGGTCAAATTCCAGTTTTTGCATGGGAACTGATGCAACAAAACATAAGAACTGATCAATCAATTAGCATCAAGGATGTTGACAAGACCCAAAGCCATGACTTCAAAATATGGAAACTAAGGCTACGTCATGTTCAAAAACCTAACACAAACCACAACAACCTTTTGGGAAATATAAATTTACAGATTGATTATTCACATGAAAAAAGCATTCACCACTAGATGAATTTGGAGTGCCTTTCTTTCCTTTTTTACAAATCGAATTTAGAAAGTTTTAGGAATATCTTAGACATCACAAAGCTCAAATATTTTAACAATCTATACATAAAAAGAAAAGAAAGCAATAAACATTACAAGAACCAAACACGCAACAAATGAAGCCCATCCCAAGAACATATATAAGAGCGCACACACATTTTATTATTCAGCGCCATAATCCCACAAAAGAGAGTCACAGAACCATGGCAAATTTCACAGACCTACATGACCATAAAACAGTTTTTGTCATTGTTTTGAGTCGTCTGAGGCCCAATTACAGACAATACACACAACATATTACTAAAGCAGAAGACATAGTTCCATCTAGCAACACGCACAAACTTCGATGGATCTTTTCAAGGTAGATAAGTCTTTCTACGATCCCAATTTACCACTGATGAACAAATACACCATTGTTCCTTAGGTCCTTGTAGAGTTGTATACAATCTCCAGCACCTGCAATTTGTTCATTTGCACCATTGGAGCAGCAATCTCCAGCAGCTGCAATTTGTTCATTTGTGCCATTTGAGCAGTGAAGAAAGATCTCGTCAACCAGGCATATCAGTCCACACTCGAACAATTTGTGCAGAAATTCCATCCCCATCACCCTGACATTAATTTTCAGAACTACAAAATCTCTGGGTACAATATTTTTTTCGAACCAATGGACAAAAGCATTTCCTTGAGCTACATTCTTCGCAGACGAAGCAAACGCATCTGGTGGAACAAGTTTAGAAGAAGACTCTTTTTCAGATAAATCATGGTGTATAGTGGGGCTCTCTGCTAAAGAAGAAACCACGGACCCACAATGATCCACTGTATAAGTTTCAAACTTCCCAGCAACAAGAGGATAAAGGGATTGATTCCATTGTGCAAGGCTAGAATTGAAATCCCCAGAATCGAGATTAATGAATAGGAACCGAGCTCGATCAGTGACATCCATCAAATTTGCCAAATATGAAATGTTTTCCCGGGTTTTCACTACCATTTTGTTCTCTACAAGAGGTTCCAAAAGTTTCATGAATGGCTTGTTGTTTTCAACAGAGTGGCACTCATTGGGAAGCCTAAACCCAAATGATGACAACCCATTAAAAACTTTCTTCGTGAATATCACCAATAGGAATGAATCGATTGGACGAATGTTGATGATATCAGAATTCCTCAAAAACGAGCTTACTGGTGTAGCAGTCTTAATTAGACTGGTCGGTGTAGCAGTTGTGACACTGACCAGTATTGCTCCATTGGAGCCCGGCCTCAAAACCCGTTCCATCTCAAGAACCAAAAGGGCAGGGACAAGGGTCTTATCCAGAGCCCCGGAAAACACGAAATCGAAGGAATTCTTCTTAAATGGGAGCTTGTAAATGCCTCCTCTCCTCACTATAGAGAAAAGGGGGTACTTATCAATACCAATTGCATTGGAAAACCCCAGTTTATGAAGAGCAGAAATAGCAGGGGTGGACTTCTCGCCAACACAGAGAGACCTAGCTCTATGGCTTAGTAATTTCTCATTGATGAGCTCCTGGAAAGCTTGGTACAGGACATAAGTGTTTTCCTCGCATGGGTTCTCTTTGACAGAGGACGAGAGCCTGTTTAATTGAAGAACAGGGACAACTGGCAATCGGGGGAAAACCCATTTGGGTTTTTCATGAAAATAGCGTGTCTCGCGGCCACAATCTTTAAAATAGACAAATAGATCGATGGGTTCGACCTCATGCAAATAACGCAAGATCGGGACCATGGCGGTCACCATAAGAAGAGGAAGAGCTCGAAGCAGAGCTCTACGAGCCATGGCAAAAGCCACATTTTCCATCAATGCAAGCCATTTCCTGGCCATGGAGTCTGGGAAACCTTAGCTGTATAACTAATAAGTAGTAACCCAAGTTGGGCTTTTGTAAAGGAAGAGAAAACCAGAGAAGGAAATTGAGAGAGGAGATTAGCGAGTACAAAACCTTGAGGAAGTGTGATTCCCACCCACCAGAAGACCCTGTGATTTTGGGAATCCAAGCCAGAACCTGTTTCGGAGCATGGTTCTGTGCCTTGATTCGAACCAGAAAGGAAGACCCATCTTGGGTTTACAGGTTCTGCATCAATAATCTACAACTACATGCTTAGAGAGAGAAACAGAGAACTAGAGAGAGAAAATGGAGCAACGAGAAGAGGGAGAAGAAGAGGAGTTGCATAGTGGTGAGTACGGCGTAGAGCAGCAGACGACAGACTTGGCCACGTGGGAGAATTCTTCGGTAATCTCGTTTTGTTTAGAGTTTAGAGTCAATAGAGAGAGAGAGAGAGACAAAACCAACTTGTTTAGAGAGAGAAACTCAGACACTGAGCTTCTTAATCATGATTAGCCTCGTGATGTGCAGGACTGTAACAGCCAAAAATTAACATAAATGACATGATTTTCGTGAGTCGGTGGACTAATATATTTATATGAGTCTTCGCCCATTGGATTTTGGATAAAACAAAGGAAGACGGTTTGATAGGGGTTCGTACAGGCCTATCAAAATAATTAAAGCTTCACCTCATAACTGTTGAGAACTGCGATCCAAGCATTCAAAAACCATCCGGTTGGGTTGAATGTAATGGTTGTAATAAAAAAAAAACGTAAATTTTGGTACAAACTAAAAAAAGGAAATTTAGACCGTCTTTTTATTTTTCTTTCAAAACTGTATAAAATTTTTTTTTTTAATTATCTCATCACTGTTTTTTCTATGTTTATTTACTTTTTGCCATAAAAATTAACCTCAACAAATTATTTTATTTCATCTCAAAGGATTGAGATGAAATAAAATATTTTGTTGGGACTAGTTTTTGTGGCCATAAGTGAAAAAGAAATGAAGGGATAGGGTGAAATACTTAAGGGTTTTTTTATGCCGCTCGAAAAAAAATAAAATAAAAATATACCGTGAAATAAGATGGGAAATTAAAGATCTATACAAAATTTTTCTGAAAAAAAAAAGAGCAAGAATTCAGGTTTGATGTATATTGTAGCATATTATCTAAAACATCCATTTTGTCTCAAAGTGTTCACAAATCCATAAAATATGTGTCATTTTTTTAATTTTAAAATTTATTATCGGTGTTGAAAATTGATTTTAGAGCCATTATGAAGATTTTTGTTGCTGCAAAAACATAGATTTGAAGTGAGGCTTTATTTTGTTTTCATAGAATCTAGGCCTTATAGATACCTCATATTAAAATAAATAAATAAGGAAAGCTTTGTGTAATTCTCCCACCGTATAGAAATTATATACTTCCTCCCCACCATCCAGCCGTCCAATTTAGATCAAGTAAGCCACTCCATTTGATCTAGTTTCGACATCTCAAAGTCTTTTATTTGAAAAAAAAAATTCAAAAATTATATGAATATGAAATTTGGGTATATATTACCATCTCAATAGAGCACACCTAAAAAAATATTTAAAAATATCATTGTTCAATTAAAATGACCAAAATTCCCTAGAATATTTTTAACATTTTTTGCAAGTGTGAGTTTAAGAGAGACATTGATAGGCAAATTTGGTGTCGAAATGTTTTGTAAGAAAAAAATTAAAAATAGAACAGTGTAGAGGCATGACATTATGATTTAATTCGTCTTAACCATCCATTCAAACTGAATGACTAACTTCTATATAATATTAAAAAACTTTATGAGTTGAGAGACATGAATATAAAAAATTTCAATAGAATATAATTTTTTTGATGTATCTTTAAATTTTTGTGGGGTCGCCATTTATTCCTCATCAATCTTTAGGGTGGATGTTGGATGGGTGAGGGTGGGAGTGCTTCTCTCGACGCATGAAATAATTTCTGACATAAAATGTGAAGTTTTTTCAAACAAAAAATGTGGGTAAATTCACAAACGAATAGATCTACAGTCCACTACAAAACATTAAAAGTCTTTAAATTGATCATCTCGACTTCGAGATGTATAACTATTAAGGAACAAAGAATCTCACATCTTAAAAATACTACGTCTTAGAATGCATTTATCTGGATTATTTATTTTCATATATTTGATTTCGGTTGTTAAAAGATTTTCTGGATCGACATCATTTTTTGAAGTTCAAATTTCATTATTAGCGACCAAAATAGTTTTTTAGATAATAAGAAGGTTTCTCGTACTAGAATTGCATCTTCTAGTGGAATTTGAAAGTGCACTTTGATTATTTCTCTCATTGAAATTGCACCGCATAAAGAGATAGAGAGAGGAACGAAAATAAAAATATTAAATATTGTATATCATAAGACATGGTATTTTTTTATATAAGAAAGTGACAATTACTTTTGATCCTTAAATGTGAAACTCAGTAGTTAGGGCATGTTCCAAAGCCCGAGAGCTAACTTTTGGGCTTTGAGCATAGAGGGGCACAACCCCAAACCTTAGATTTCACAACTGAGGGCTGGGATGATTGTAACCTTTTTATAAAGATAAAAAGAGTCTTACTATATACTTATTTCAAATATTGATCTGTAATTTTAATAACAATGATGAAAAATGTATTACAACGAGAAATGACAAGAGCTGGGGAGAAAAGGAGAAATAAAGGATAAAATAAACAAGAATCAACAAGGAAAAAAATATCCCAAAAATGAAAAATGTAGAGTAGGACTGTTTATCTTTAGTATAAAGAAGTTACAATCACTAGTGGTCTGAAATGGGATAGACAAGGATGTGTCTTTGGCTAAGCTCACTATTCAAAATAAAATTTATGGATCTCTAAAATCCATCTTAAGCTTTAAGACTTGACATCTTGTTGTTTAAAGTAATTTATAAAAAAAAATACTAAAATAAAACCACTGCTTTGTGGAAGAATATAAAGTTTCACCTCAGAACTCATAGAAAATTATAGTTCAAGCATAAAAAAACCTACAAATCTATCACCTCAACCTAGATCATTATAGTTGTGAAAAGAAAAAAAAAAGAATTCCAAACCGTAAAAATAGCATATATTGTAACCCATTATCTAGATCGTTTATTTTCAAATAAGTAATGATCCTATGAGACCCTCCCAGACCCATGTGTGTAGGACCTCAAAGGATCACCATTAAATTTGACACATATATTTTAAAAAATTAAGTTCTACACAAATGTGATTATTTTTCTAGAGATCTATATCGAATTTAATGGTGATTTTTGAAGTCCTACACACAAGTGTGAGAACGTCTCATAGGATCATTACACTTATCAAAACTATAATATCTATATTATTTTTTGGGCTACAAGGCGTTTATCAAAACTATAATATCTATACTATTTTTTGAGCTACAAGTTTCATAATAAGCGGTAAAAATGGATTTTAGAGCTATCTTAAGGATTTTTTATACCCGGAGTATTTTTCAGACATAAATTGGAGGTGAGGCTTTATTTCCTTGCACCAAAGGAAAATAGTTTTATAATATATCATCGCATTGAATAAATAAATAAATAAATAAAAAAAAAAAAAGACGTAACACACAAGTAACCATGTAAAAAGAGTCGATATACAAAAGAGCAGCACGTTTGCCCCACAAAGGCGATGGAAAGCTCGTAAAAGGACATTTGGTGGAGCTTCATTATCAATCTAGGTGGAGCTTCCACGTGGCTCACTCACGACAAAAGATGGCTAAAACTTTATGCTATGCTCCCTCGGGAGCATAGTTTGCTTCTCCTTCGATCAAATGACGTACTTGGAAGATTTTTTTCAATCCGCCTAAGAATCACTCGATTATTATTTTCAAAAACTAAAAATGAAATTTAAGCTTTTCAACACTTAGATTTTCCCCTTTAAAAATTAAACGGTTGTTATTCAATCTTAAAACAATTTTTTTTTTTTCAAGTGTTTGGAAGGTGCAATTAGGAAATTTTTTTTGTTGAGATCAATTTATATCTTCAAGAGATTATATCCCCAAAATTTGGGGACCAAAAACTAGTCTTAAGTAGAGTTTATCCGAGGGCTCGGAGTAAATGAACAATATACTTCTGATGGAGTAGAATATCTTTCGGCAAACTTAAAGGGCTACACATTTATCACCTATTAACATTCATTATGCTAATGATAGGATCTTATGTGGTCTTGAGCATGACAACCTTATAGGATTAGATTTTCAAAAGATAAAAAGGAGACATAAAAATAGTAGACTAACAATAAAAAAAATATTATAATAAAATGCTCAACTTCGTTTACCCGGTCAAAATTAGTAGATTTGATAAGTCAAAAATGCTAAAAATTGCTTTTAACAGGTTTTCCACTAAACATAATTTTTGCTTTAAATTAAATTAGTTTAGGCACTGATGGACACTCCGACTAGCTAAATCCTAGACCTTTGGACTAGTCTTTATAATTATGGTAAAAGCCGCCTAATAATTCTCACTTTCTTTCTAAGATTTGTAGAGAACCTCACACCTGTTGTATCAATTTCAATAAATGTTCACATTAAGTTCAACATTGTAATTTTAGGATTTATGGTCCTGTTGGGAGTACGAGCATAAGAGTTTCTAAGTTGTGCCCAAATCTCGACGCTGATTTTAATAAATTCTTTGATACGTTATTTGTATATTTTGTTGCCAATTGTTGTCACTACTATTTATATAAGGAAAAGTATATGCAGAGATTATTTACTTTTGGTACAAGATGGTCAGGTGGTTCCAAGTGTGCCATTGACTAAACTCAAAGTTCAATGCTCCGTGACACACTCTAAACCATCCAATTTGACATTTGATAGCCAAAAATAACTATGACCTCCTTACAACAAAGATAAATAGTTTTATAGTATAAAATCCTTTGTATAATCCATACCTTGCCAAGTATAAAAAAGCATATATATCATGCCCCTTTCTTCTCATATTTTTTT